CTCCACCTGTAGAAGAATGAAACTAAACCCCTATCTTTCACCTTTCACAAAAGTCAACTCCAAATATGTCAAAGACCTGAATGTGAAGCCTCAAACTCTGAAACTGTTAGAAGAAAACATTGGCAATAACCTACAAGATATAGGTGTAGGAAAAGATTTTCTAAACTGGACAGGGACTGCTCAGGAAATAAGGTCAAGAAACAAATGGGACCTCATTAAACTAAAAAGCTTCTGTACATCAATGGAGGCAACCAGGGAAGCGATCAGAAAACCCACAGAATGGGAGAAAATCTTTACCAGCGACACATCCGACACAGAGGTTTAATATCCAGAATATATAACAAACACAAAAAATAGAGAATCAAGACAAGAAGCAACCCAATTAAAAGATAGGCTAAGGAGTTGAACAGAGAGTTCTCGAAGAAGTAAAGATGGCTATGAAACATCTTAAAAGATGTTCAACATCACTAATAATTAGGGAAATGCAAATTAAAACCACTTTAAAATTTCATCTTACCCCAGTCAGACTGGCTAAGATCAAGATAACAAATGATACCAAATGTTGGAGAGGATGTGGGGAAAGGGGAACACTCATCCACTGCTGGTGGGGCTGCAAACTTGTTCAACTCCTATGGAAAGCAGTGTGGAGAACTCTAAAAACTACAAATGAACCTAGCATTTAACCCATTTATACCACTCCTTGGCATAAACCCTAAAAACTCATCCTATTGCAGAGACACTTGTACATCCATGTTTGTTGCTGCTTTTTTCACAATAGCCAAGAGATGGAAGCAACCTAATTGTCCCTCAATTGATGAGTATTTAATGAAAGTGTGGTTCATTTATATGGAGTTTTACTCAGCAGTAAAGAAAGATGAAATCATGAAATTTGCAGGTAAATGGAAGGAACTAGAATCTTATACAAAGTGAAGTAACACAGACTCAGAAAAAAAATCGACATATGTTCTCCCTCATATGTGGATCCTAGAACCAAACCCTGATAAGTGAGTATGTATCCAGACATAACTACAGGAACCAAGATAATGGAAAAGAAACAGGGAGGTAAAGGAAAAGAAATAACCTAAAAGAGACAAACAGTAGGAAACAGTCCTTAATAAGGGTGATACGGATAAAAATTGGGTTAGTTTATAGGAGGGGAGAGGGAGGAGTACACAAGGAATCTAGGGGATAAAGGGAAAGAAGAAGCTTACAATACTGAAAGCTGGAAAAGAGAAACAAGAAGTCACATATAAAGGAAAACCCATCAGAATTACAGCTGACTTTTCAGTGCAAACTATGAAAGCCAAAGTATGGTGTGCGCGCACTCTCTGGGCGCACTCCCAGAATGGCACAGCGGATCCGCAGGCTCCCCCGCCGGTGTGCGTGTGCTCTCTGGGCGCACTCCCAGAATGGCACTCCCCGCCGTGCATCTCTGGCCGCTGCGGCAGGTGCCCCGCAGGCTTTTCCCGCAGGTTCGGGTCCCGTGTCTCTGTCCGCGCATCTCTGGTGCTGACAGCCTCCCTGCGACTGGAGTGTTGTCCAGCCGAAATCCTGCCCCTTTTCCACCACTCACTTTCAAGGACACACACTATCTTAAAGTGAAAGGATGGAAAAAAAAATCTACCAAGCAATTGGTACTTTAAAAAGCATGTGTAGCAATTCTAATATCTGACAAAATAGACTTTAAAGTAAAACTAATCAGAAGAGATAAAGAGGGCCACTTCATTCTGATCA